AGGCCCCAGGCCCAATCGTCCGCACGACCGGTAAGGTGCGACATGGCGAAAGACACGCGGATCGCATCGTCATCGATGTTCAAAGCATCCGCGGCACGACTTACTTGCTTGATCCAACGAAGCAGTTGGTGGGAGGCAAGTCCTCCATACTTGGGGACTTCGAGCTTTACGGCGCGTTGCTTCGGCTTCGAAGCTGTCTGCACGGACATACGCGCAGTCGTGTGATGGAGCGTGTCCTCCAGAGCACGTCCTCGAGCGTTGAGGTCGGCAACTTCTTGGAGCAAGTGATTGCGCTTGCGCCGCAATGTCTTGCCGAGCATTCTCGCCATGGCGAGCAAAGCTTTCAACCAGGTGGAGCTGCGCTGGAGGCGCCAGCGCGTGGATCAGGCTCCAAGCTTCTTGTTCCCCGAGAGCGGAGCACATGTGTCGGATCGTGACAAGATGGGTCTCGGAGAATTGGGCAGGGGACATTGCGCGGCGGCGAGGAAGGTCGATGGACGAACTGGAGTGCTACCAGGTGTAGTGGGGCGCACAGAGGAAGGTGTGTAGAACAAGGTATATTGTTAACTGAGAGAACTAGCTATCTCTGAGTTGGTTTCCTTGGCGCGCGGCTGCGCACCAGTCATGCAATTCATGTCAAATGAATGGTGCTGCTGCGGATGTCGCAGAGCCAGTGATTCAAGACACTTGGATTGCCAAGTGTCCTTTCGGGTCAGGATTGGAACTGACCAATGGGATGTCGTGTCCGGATGTTATCCGGACCCCGTTACAGATACCGTGTTGCCAAGATGTTTTAATAATGATAATACAAACACTCAATTAACCAAGACGTTTGAAGTAAAACACTCCGTTTGTTGCAACACACTTGCTCGCTTCTTCTAGAGCTGTTGGATGGCAGACTCGTCGACGGCGTATGAACGGGCTACAGTGTATGGCTCGCACTGACCGAATGCGCGTGCCAGCAACTTCATCGACTAGGGACAAAGGCTCGACTTCTGTAAGGCGTTCGCCTCTCCCATGAACCATCGTCGAAATGAACTCTGACCACTAATGCATGTTTGATGATACAGAAGTGTTGTATCTACACCACTAAGGCTTACGCCAGGTCATGATAGCATATGTCTTGTGTGGTTATGCGTGTTGTTGGACAAGGATGCGATGTTTGGAATGATGTAGCCTTGGCTTTCATTCCTGGTTCGACCTCGAACTGAGTTCAACCTTTGTGTGCGTGTTCAATCCCCCAGCCTATCCAACAAAGGTAGCTGGTTGTGCAAACCGACGCAGACAACAGAGCAGCGTCTGCGCGGACCTGCACTCAATCTAGATCTAGATTGGCCCAAGGCCCAAGCCCGGAAACCGGACACCCGCCAGACCATCCAGCCCCTACGCATCCCCACAGGGGACATCTGTAAATGGGACCTCCCTGCGCTCAATTTCTACTGGCGTGCCATCTGCTACACCTTACACACCAACGCCCGCAAACACCGCATACACCCACGCTGGGAGCCACACTGTCGCACATGCCCCGCTTCCATCGACACACAGGAACACCGCTTCGGCCTCTCACACCCTATATGCCCAATGTCTGTCCCACTCTCCCAAAAATTCTCCTCGCCACACAAGCCATCCTCCCAAAGGCCTGGCTCCCTGACCAAGATATCTACCTACCTGGACATAACACAGCAACCGCGCACATCCTGCCAGGACTGAAACGTCCGCAATGGAAAAGCCGTGGCGGCAACCCCTCCCCCAACACGGGCACCTGCATGATTCCCCTTACCGTTCAACGCTGTATCCATGCCCTCCACATGCAACGCCTACTGCCCCCCCCCAACCCGAATCTCTCATGCTCGCTGCCTCCCAACTATCCTGGGAATTTCACCAGTGCCCCAAGCCGGGCCTCCTACTACCGCGCTGGCTATACCACACAGCGCTGCGATCCACCCCCCTCCTTGCACCACGGGACTTCTGGTTTGGTCAATGGATGGGAGGACCCAATGGCGCTACATTTCATGGACCACTCGGACGCTCCCCCCACTGCATTATCCCCCGTCCCCCGACTAACCACCACTGGTGGATCCATGCCACTCACAACCCCTACCCCTCCACTTGGTGGCGCCTACTTACCCTGGCAATACATGAAGCTACCGCTCATCACACGCCGGCCACCTACTGGTTTGTCGTTCCCGATGGCTCACGTGGCCATACAACGGCTGAGCAGCTACAAACAACATGGCTCCTCACCATACCCCCGCGCCAGCTCTCACTTCGCCACATCTCCTCCATCCACCACACCTCCACGCCCCACTGGGGAGAACTCGCTACTGGTAACCCCACTCCTCTCCACATCGGATTCTTCACCACGGGCAATACCCTAGAGCTCCTCACCTCTGCCCAGCTGCACTGGACAGCCATACTTCAACTCATCGATGCCACCCATTGGCTGCATAGGCCTCCCCCAACCACTCTCCTCAGCTCGGAGGAAACTCACACGGCAGATGCCCCACGATTTCTCACTGCCCCCACACACTGCCTGCACTGGGCCCAGACCTCCATTCCTGACTACGACCCATATGCCCTCGACTCCCGCGCATTCCTAACGGCTAGGTACCCAACTATACACCACGCTACCCCAGGCTGGACAACTTTCCCAACCATAACTCACTCCACCCAAGCCTGGGCAGCCTCAATTACCCATCTCCGCGCTCCGCTTTTCCATACCCACTGGTTCGTGGCGCACTGGGCAGTCCTCCGCCGACATTGGCAAACTACATGCGCTACTAACGTGGACCACATACGCACCACAGGGGAACTACCCCTCCTCACTGAGGTTAACAACACCATCCGGCTTAAACGCCGCTACCACGATGCCGCCCCCATGGGCCACGACCGACGTATCCGTGCCCGCAGAGCCCACCTCACAGCCAAGACGCTGCAATGGCACTCCCGTAGAATCTCCTTACTACAACCCGCCATCCCTCCTCCCATAGGCTACGCCGACCCGACCCTACGGCCACCGCGACTCCCCCCGGACCCCGGATTACCTCCCCCAGCGGTATAAGGATTCTGCTCCTTCGAGCAGACCCACTCAGGTTTTCAAGTAGTTAAGTCCGCTAGCTGCCAAAGCAGCTAGTACGCGGCCGTGGCCATCTAGTACGCGGCCGTGGCCATTAAGTGCCCGCTGAGCGATTTTAACTTTACAGCGTAATAACAAATAACAAATAACAGGTAACAAGGTAACACATACTGTAAGCCATGGACCCGATCACCTCCACATACATTAGCTTTCATTGTGTTGGAGGTTTGGTATCCAAAACGTAGTGCACAGGCTGGGGCTCGTGATCTTCTGTGACGGAAATCAAGGAATATACCCATGCCCGTTCAATATGCCTTCAATCTTGTCGCAAGTGGGGAACAAGTTGGCCGCTACGACATCCAAGACGCCAGTTTTTTCAAGGACGGCCATGAGGGCAATTGCGGTACGTGCGAGGTCTTCGACGGTGAAGATGGCACTCTGGTCGTAACTGATGCCATGATAGACCGACAATGTCCCAACATTGGTTCCGAAATATTTGACTACCTTAGGTAAGACTTTCTTTGCGAGGTACGGATGGGCTTTCATCCACAACGTTGACAACTCGGCGACCTGGGACATGTCCGCAGCGCCAGTGAGCACCTTGGGCGAGATGCCTTTAAACCGTGTGGCGATATTGGAGGCAAACACCACCACCGCAAGAACTTGGTTGGCGACGACAGCGACGCAATGGTATATGGTTTTTGCGGCCCCCATTCCGCAGTGCACCCACGAGGGAGGAGGGCGGCCCCAGCACACTGGGCCAACACCAGTGTAGTTAGGTTTGCACTTGGGGTAGCACAACCCTGCGTCGAGATCTTCGTTGGCAGCGCACGTGCCGAACTTAGGCGCCCCAATCGTGATTTTCTTGGCACACGACAAGTCCAACCCGCCGCCCAAGCCAAGGGATGTGCAGTTGGGAGGGTGAGGTCGACAGATACAACAACCAAACGAAGTGTAGCCCGGCTTACACTTGGGGTACACAACCAACTCCGATTGTTCGCACTTGTCCTTCCCGTAGTCCTTTTCGCAGCGTTGGAAAATGCCATTGGCGTTCAGGGAGTCGCCAAACTTCCACGGGTACCCAAATCCCCGGCCGTATTCACTCTTGCGGCAAAACAGTCCTTGGTCTACGAGCCCATCGGGACAGTTCGAATGGCAGTCGAGGCCTACGCGGATCATGCCCAATGGACACTTGTCATAGCACAGCAGACCCAGGCGCTCTTGTCCGGCCGCGCACGATCCCGGCACACGGCCAACACCGCGTGTGTACGTTGCCTTCCAGCAAAAATATGATGGCGATTTGGGCTGGTGGTCGTCGGTTTGGTTCACGGTCGCACTGGCCATGGCGGCAAACACGGTGAGGAAAGCAAGAATGTTGGCCATCAGGTGAATGCGAGGTGAATGGCCAAGTGACGTCTTCAGTTGGACTACGCGCACTTCCACCGTCTCGGCGGTGTGGCTCCAGTGACGGGACGGCGTTTCAAGGCTTGCCGTCTACAACGCCTTTAGCTGGGTTCGTACACCCAAGGACCAAGAAAGTACTCACGGTGGACTGGCTCTCGACGGCGCATCAAAAGCACATGGACGCGCTGCGACAAGCCATGGAAAATATGCACCGCGACGTAGCGGCTCGAAGCGAGAAGTTGCGGCAGCAGGCGCGAGGTCGCCGCGAGAAGAAAGCGCACGTGCGCTTAGCGAAGTTTGCGCTGGGCGATTTTGTGCTGTTGGGAAAAATCATCAAGTTCCCCAACAAGTTGGCACTCAATTGGAAAGGTCCGTACCGCGTATCGCGGGTCGACTCGGACTATGTGATGGAAGTCCAACAGCTCGTGGAGCCGTTTCGGACGTCGGTCCACCATGCCAGCCCGCTTGTTTTTAGTTTTTCAGCGATGCTGCATTGGACGTCACCGATGACCTGGTGGACTACGCCGCGTTTGGCGATGAAGGTTTTTTTGTCGAAGAACTTTTGGGCGCTTGCCGTAGCGCCGACGGAAAATTCGAAGTGCGCGTCAAGTGGAAGGGCCTCGACGAAGAAGCTTCGTGGGAGCCAGCCCTCCAACTCTATGAAGACATTGCGGTCGTCCTGCGCCGCTGGATCGTGAAGAATGCCGGCGACGGCGTCGTCAAGGAAATGCGCGACGACTTAGAGACGACCCTTGGCCATTCACTTTAGGGGGAAGTGTTCTGCCGCGTCCGCAGAAGTGCGTCGTGTGCCCTTGGAAATGACCGAGGGCAAACCGCACCTATATGGAAGGTCGAGAACCGTCTGGTTTCGACGCGTGGCCGATATCGAGGACTGGTTAGTATAAAAGGTTAATACCAGTCAGTTTGCACTGTGAGTCTAACCACCGTTGTGGTTACTGTGCTGGTCGACGGAGCGTCGACAGTACGGGGTGCGGAACACAAAGTGACGTCTTCAGTTGGACGACGCGCGCTTCCAGTTTCGAGTCAATGATATTCCGGCACTTGCCATAAGTTGTCTGAAAGGGGGGGTGTCCCAGCCTTGAGGCCTTGGTCGAGGTCGTGCCGACGCAAACAGGCTCTAATAAGATGGCACAAGCGCCGTTTTAAGAATCTACAACGTCTCGCAAGAATATTCAACTTCAGCCATGTGCTGTACTTCAACTTTGTATTACTCCGGAGTATCTAATCAAAGTTTCCACAGGCAGTTCATAAATCGTCGGATCCAAATGTCGAAAAGTGGTAATTCCATCACCAAACATTCGTTAATAATCATCCTACCGTATTAACGTTAGTGACTTTTAGCAACTCGGAACGTTCTTTCTGACCCACCTATTATTTTAATAAAACAATTCGATCATAAATGACATAATACGCGGAGCTATTGAAGTGACCGCGAGATGGCGCCGACTGTGTTCTGACCAACATGTCAGGAGATAATCAGCGATGCGATTGGACATACCCACAAGTTGGCACCGACATGCATTCTGATGTACACGTGCATGTCACAGTGGCAATATTGGGTGTTCCTGAGAAGTGGATTAACTACTTCCAAGCTAACGGTTGCTACCGCAACGGGCTCACCTAGTGTAAGTACGTACAGCTGTCCTCCAAGGTTTGCTCCCTGGTCAAAACGAAATTCCCGTATATATGCCACAATTTTCTCGAGAATCGAGTGTTTTATGGCATTAAAAAAATGGACCGATTTGGTCCAACTTTTTATGGAGGTTTGTGTTCACGTTGAAGTCTTGCACTTCAATCCGAAATCGAATATAATTTTTCCAAAATTCAGCTGCTATCCAGACAACTTTGGAGATACTTTTCTCCTTTTTTTCATGGGATATCAGACTTTGGGAAAAATTGGAAGACTTGCCAAAACGTTTTATGGCATATGACAAAGTGAGTGATTCATCATTAAATAAATCGATATTTATCGATCAAATGACTAGCAGACTGACTAAACGTTCCGTGACCGAGTCACGGAAGAATAAACTGTACTGGTATCAAATAGGTTATGGTCTCCCGCTTCTTCTTGGCTTTCGGTCACGGGATACTAGAGCCACATGTTGTGGAACCAGAGTGTGTGTATGTTCGCAGGGTTGAACTGACGCACGACCCAATTGCTCTGCACGCTGCAGAACATTTTTCTACTTCGCAGAGCTGTGGGAGATTTGAGCATACCATGGTGAAAACGATGAAGCAAATGATCCATTTGGTGAACTGCAAAGCACTCACTCAACGACAGACATGGAACGTAATTCGAAGTACATGTATGATCAAAACATCTGGTTTACTGTTAACAACTGTATTTATGACCATTTGACACTTTCCAACGTTGTAAATGAACACGAGTCGGAAACTATGGGAAAACGTTCAAGAAATCTGGATACCGTTCAGCCAAGACTGAAAACCGTTCAAGCAAATTTTCTTCCCCTAACCCTGTCGATTTTACCAGGTTGCCAGGCAACCAGCTGTGGATACAGTGGTATTTGGGGTGGACGGACAATTATGAGAAAAGCAGAACATTAAGGATATGGTGGTGGGATAGTATCAACTACCGGTAAAAAGTGGTAACCTGCCAAAATCGGACTCGAAAGAGGAAAACCGCGATGGAAATACGGAAAATCGGACTAACCCACTGAATGTGTGTCGTTTGGTGGTAATTCTGAGGCAACACTGTTCTGCAGCGTGCAGAGCAGTTGGGTCGCGCGTTAGTTTGACCCATTGCAAACACACACACTCTGTGTGTGTGGCGTGTCAAAGGTTCCGAGACCTTAGTGGAGGTACTGAGTACTTTAGTGAATGGTAGTCAGTAGACGCCTCGTGGCGTGTTTAACCTCACTAATATCAGTGTGTATATTTGCTGCCTTGACGAAGGTCCCGTGGCCGAAAGCCAAGAAGAAGCGGGAGAGAAAACTAAGATTTCTTTAGTTCATTGTTGAGCTATTCACTGGAGATGGTACGAGAACATTCCTCGGACGAGGAAATGCCAACGAACGCCGAAGAACGATCGCGGTCGCGTGACCAGATCGAGGAGCCGCGAGGACGCGCCGCTCGCCGCACCGTTGAGAACCCGTTCAGATCTCCGACGACGACAGCCACCTGCTGTCGACGAGTGGCAACCGCCACGTGGTGGGTTTTACACCCCCGCCACAACCCGAGGAACACCAGCTGTCGCAGCGTTTGTCTCAGCTGCTGCTCCACCAACGACTGAAGCAGATGGCGCTTCAGTGCCGTTGCCAGCCGACAACACCCGTCGGACGTCCGTGACGATACGGACATGGGCAGCGATGGCGGTTACGGCCGTGCGGCGCCGCAAGTGTGGAACGCGCCGGCGCTCCCGCAGCC